TTGGTTTTATTATTAGAAATATGGAAAGTCTGGAAAACACTCTGAATAATTCTGCGTTTTCAACTACAGATCTCTCTCAGCCTTGTCCGCTTATACTGGCTTGATTGCTCCCATGAAGATTCGCACTGAGGCCCCTGGGAATCTTCGTTTATACAGTGGGAGCCCCACCCGCAGTGAAAAAGAGCTGGTCTCCATTAGCTCCTTCTACTATAAGGAACGGGTAAGAAGTAGAGACATGGCCTTCAATTTTTAATATTTCTTAAGGATTCTTGGGTTTTTGTCTCTAGCCTACCATGCTTAGCAGCTAAATTTATCCTGGTGTGGTGCTGTGGGTTAATGTGTCAGACTGCAAAGCCATTTGAACTGCAAGGTCGGTGGTTCAAGCTCACCAGTTGCTCCTTGGAAACCCTATACAGGGTCGCTGTGGGTCAGAATTGACTCGATGGCCCTTAACAACAACATAGCCTTCTACTTTCAAAATAAGTTTAAAAAAATGCCATTGCTTGGTTCCTTTCAGTTGGTTTTAACTACTTCAAATTATGGGGAATTAATCCTTAAACTCATGGAGGGCAGGGAGAACTTCAAAAAGTTCATGGCATTAAAATGGAGAGTTTCCATTAACATTTTTCAGCTCCATGCGTTCTTCAGTCCCCATTTAGATGTGTTCATTGAGTTGCTTCTCATCACTTCAAGTAGAACCTGTCAGCTTTTGACCTCCCATGGTTTTCTCATGTTTGTCAACAAATGAAGGAATGTTTCCAAAGGCTTGGATCTTTGCTGTATGTAGAATTTGATAGCTATGAGACATTTTAAAGTGGGTTGCTAAAAGCTTTTACATTTTTATTAAGTCTGCACTTAAATATCCATTTGAATGGACCAGTTTTTTTTTTTTTTTTTATGTTCATGGGTCCTAAAGGAACTCAATTGTCCCTAAAATAATAATTAGTATTATTGTTAATAATTATCATTTAGCCTTTGGTGACCTGGTTGGCAGAGTGGTAGGAAAGACCCTTAGAAACTTTTTGTGTTGTCAGATTGAGGATCTGGTTTAAACAGATGTTTAATTGACACCATGTTTTCAATAAGCATAGAGTTACCACTGAGCTAATGCCCAAATTAGCTAATTCCAGGCCTTAGGAATTCTCAGTGGTTTTCCCCCACTAAGAGAGAGATATTGGTTGCCTATAACTAAAAAAACAAAAAACACAAATTACTTAAAATTCAACATCAATTTCTAGCAAATATTAGATGTGCCTTCAGTTTGATTACAGCTGACCATCTTTGTTGTGTCCTCTTTGGGCCATCGGGACTGAACCAAGTGGCAGGAACTGATGTTTAGGATAGGACCACTGTGGCAAAACTGTTCTGTTGAATAGGGAAAATGATTTTTTTTATTGCCTTTCTGTGCAGATTGCTACAGCCCCCTTCATCTTGTCACTGTTGGAATTCTCTTTGTCTTTCTGTCACGGAGGAGTCTTGATGGCATAGTGGTTAAAGCAAACAGAACAAACACTAAACAAAAGGTCACTGGTTCAAGCCCACCAGCCGCTCTACAGGAGAAGGATGTAGCAATCTACTTTTGTAAAGATTTAAATCCTTTGGGGGCAGTTCTAGTTGGTTCTGTAGGAGTCAGAGTCTAATGGGTTTGGTTTGCTTTGGGCTGTTACAAACCTCCTTAGAACGCATCCTGAGTTAGATCATTGCCGAAGTCATTATGTTCAAAAGTTTACATTCATACTTCTTTTTTTCTCAAGCCAGCAGGTAGCTCACTAGGAGATGACTTGAAAAGTGGTTGGAACTAAGGCATTAGTGGCCATAATTGCCAGTCGTGGTTGTGGAAATGTGTAGATTTAGCATTTTTAGCATCAGGATGAAGTTGAGATCTTTAGACAAAAAGGCATTTAAAAAAAAATTTTTATTGTGAATTTTGTGGGTTTACATGGGAGAACATCAGTTTTACATTCATACTATTGTATTTCGTTTCATTGCAATGATTTCAATTCCCTCCTTGCATCAACAAACAACCAAAGGGTACACCCTACAGGACTGTCCCCTGACCATCAGCACACAGTCCCTCCCCCTCCCTGAGTCCACTGTCCCCAGCCACTCCATCTGTCCACGTCATCGTCTCTGCCTCCATTTCTGACATCACTACTACTCTGGTTAGGGTCCGGCACTCTGCTCTTCTCACTTGATGGTTCCAGGGACCTCTGCTCCTGAGCTACAAAAGCAATCACTCCCTTTCTTTTGTTACAAAATATTTACCTTTACATTTCTGACCCTCACAGTCAGTCCTGATAATAATTATTCAC